AAACAGGAAATCATAAATGATTGATATAGTATATACTCATATCACTTTTAGCACAAATAATGTAGCGTTAATCGAGTTTACCACTTCCAAAGCAAATATAAATAATCTAGTAAAATACTTGTAACAAGTGTGATCTAAAGCATTTACGGGATTGCTCCTTATTTGTATTCAACCAACAAGGAATTCCACTGCACGAAACCATACTGGACATTAATAATTACGTCATTATCAAATGTTCTATCATTTCTGATAGTTAAGTTGACATAGACTGCCTCATTGATGTAAACCAATAGTAGCTGGTGTCCGAAACCAAGATTTTCTCGATTCGCACTTTACCAGCAGTGCTACAGATATAGAGAGGTATCCAATACCCAGTGTTCATGGTTATGAGCTCTGGTTCATCAAGCAGTGGTTTGACTGGAGGACAGGATACAGGTTCTGGTGTCTTCATTGTGTAGCCATGTTCTTCTGTTGTGATGGATAATGTTGACAGAGAACCAAACATCTGATGGAGCTGTTCTGTATTGATCTGATGAGGAAAGAAACTTGGTAATGATACATTGATTTTCGGAGGTAAACTTCTGAATTCAGCATTCTGTGGGGGACAATTATGTATTAACCTTTCTCTTTATTGCCGATTGGTTCATGAACGTAGTATCCGGGGGGGGGGGGGGGGGGGGCCTGCCCCCCAACTTTTTTCCCCAACATAACCTTTACTATAGTAAATAGTAAATGTACATTGATAGGATGGTTGCCCCCCCCCCCCCCACCTTATAACCACAGCATAGTGATAGGAAGGATTGTAAGGTAAAAATTGGAAGTGATAGTAAACTGGCTATGAAAATATGACCCCCCCCCCCCCTCCCCCACGAAATAGGATTTTCGAGTTTGGGCAACTTTTACTTTCCGGTTTTTTGTTTTTTTTTTGCTTGTCAACTTTTCAAAAGAGTAAACAAAAAATTTTCTCAGGTTGCCCCCCCCCCCGGCCCCCATTTCAAAAATGATGCTACGTGCATGCCTGTGCAGCTTCATGGAATTTAATCTCGTGACCAACCCGTATTTATATCCCGATAGATGTTTAAAAATGATACCTTATTTCTGAAGTAAATATTCACACATAAGCAAAGTTTTGTCGTATGAATGGGGTATTATAAGTGAAACCTTGCATGCATGTTACTTGTGGGTGGTCGGAGTCTTGGAAGTTAGCCATGGTTTGGTGGCCTAGGCAACACAGAGGAAATTAATTACAAGGACAGAACTTAAAGTACTATTTTTTTTGTAAAATAGACCTAAAAATATCATTCTATATGACAGAAATCGCTTCTCTCTCTCTCTCTCTCTTTTCTCTTTCTCTCGGTCTCTGAAAAAGGGGTCCAAACCCTTAAGGATGTACAACACACCTACCCAAAAAAATTCCTGTCGTTTAATTTTCGTTATTTTTGTATATTTAGTACATGACTATATCTACTGCATGTATGCATATTTTGGACAAAATCGTTCGAGTGGTTTTTGGACAGGAACTTCCGAAAGTTACCCCCCTTTAGTTGTTTACAAGGAGAGAAAATTTTTAATCAATGAACTACTTAAACCTTGATTTTCAAAACAACCAGGTTAGATATAAATGTCAAATTTCATTGACTTATTCCTTTAACCATTTAACACAAAAACATAGTCATCTTTTTGATATACATATCATCAAAACAATTTTTAAAGACCTTAAACTGAAAAACTATGAATTTTCCAAGCTTTGAAAATTGCGTATTTTTCAAATTCAAAATTTTTTTGTGAAAAAACCTGTCGTTTAATTTTGGTAAAAAACTTTCTTTAGGTAGCTGGTAGTAAAAATAATCTTCATAATTTTTTGTATAATTTTTGTACGACCAGTTTTGATTTAATAGCGGAAAATTACCCCCTCCCCCTTTCTCAATAAATCACGTTCCCGCGCGTCTTTTAGACGGGGGTCGATCACTTTGTTATATGAATCTACAAATACACATTTAAAAAAATTGAATTGGAATATTGCTTTTGCTTGAAAAATGTATTAACTTACAAATTTAAAAGTTCTCATATGTAAAGCGTATTTAAATGTAGATTTTAGGCAATTTTTGAATACCCCTATCACCCCCACCCCTTCCTATTTTGCGTCGCAGACCATTAGCGTTTGACGAAACGTCGTTTACAGTGCAAATATACTCACTCTAAAAAAAGTTTTACTTGTTGTTTTTAAAATAAGATATTAGATTAAGAAAAACTAGTAATTATTAGTAATCCATTTAGTCAGAATAGCAAGTAAATGACTATCATAGTTAGTAATTGTAAACATGATTAGTAATAAGGATGAATTCATTTACTTATAAAATGATTTACTAAGTATCAATAGAATTACTTAAATTATAGGAATTGTATTACTTTAAGTTAGTAATGAACTACTCACTTTTGTTAAATTATTATTACTTAATTTAGAGATCATATGCTTTCTATTTACTAAATTTTATGAATTATTACTAAGTAAATGTAATTCTGAAATTAATCAAAATCTAGAATATTATTACTCAAAAGAATACTAAGTAAATGAAATACTTATCATATTTACTAAAATCGACATTATTTACTAGAAACACTGCAAGGTACCGACCCTCTGACATGTGAGACAGTGAGTACTACTCACAGATTTCTTTATTTGAGTTCCCTAATTGGGCCCTCTGAATAGTATAATAGAAGAAATCTACTTATGATGGAAACAATTATTTTTTCTATTTCTTTTGCCAATTTCTTTGTAATTATTTTATTATATATAACAATAAAACATTTGATTCCAAATTCGAAAGCCTTATAAATTGAATAAGTTGTATCTTTTTAAGGACCATTTTAAAAATGGTTAAACATTTCAAGTACTTAATTTCGCATTTTTATTAGTGTGACTTTTTTTTCACATGAAGATATATTTAGAAGAAAGATAACTCCTCCTTACAGACAATTAATGATTAGACTACCATTTAAGTAAATACTGATCTGAATTCTCCTTAATTTAGTAAATAAATTTTTGTTTTAAGTAAATTAATTAATACAATTCAAACAAGATGTGTTTGTGAAACACCTATGCCCCTGTATGGCAACATAGCAAAGGTTAAACTTTTCTTATATGCAAATTTAAATTATTGGGATTTCTTGATATCTCCAAGGTCAAAAGGTCAAGGTTATTGGTATCTAATGAAAGGTCTTGCCACAAAAAATACATTTGTGAAATGTGGAAACACTTGCCTCAACCCTTCAGAAGTTATGGTCAAGGTAACCAATTTTGAAATGTAGGTCAAACTCCAAGGTCAAGGACAAAGGGACAGATTTGGTGGTACCCTAAGAAAGGTCTTGTCACAAGGATGAACTATGTAAAGTATGAATGCACTAACCCTAATCCTTTTAAAGATACAGTCAAGGTTTGCTTTTTAAAAGTGGGTCAAACTCCAAGGTCAAGGTCAAAGGGTCAAAGTTCTTGGTATCCTATGAATGGTCTTCTCAAAATGATTACATATATGTAAGTATGAAAACACTATTCTTTACCGTTCAAAAGTTATGGCCAAGGTTAAAGTTTTTTTTTCACAAGGATGGAAATCTCCAGGGTCATGGTCAAAATTTCATAGTTGTTGGTATTCAATGAATGTTCTTAGCTTTCAACAAAAAATATATATGTGAAGTATAAATGTCCTGGTATTTACTGTTCAAAAGATTTGGATAAAGAATAAGTTTGGATTTTTTGTGTATAAGTGAGTCAAACTTTAAGGTCAAGGTAAAATTTGGTGATACTCAGAGAAAGGTCTTGTTACAAGGAATACACGTGTGAAATATGAAAGTCATAGCTCCACTAAATCAAAAGTTATGGGCAAGGTTAAAGTTTCTGCAGATAAACAGACAAACATAGGGACAGCTAGACAGACAGACGGACACGACAAAAATTATATACCCCCGAAACTTCGTTTACGGGGGCATTAAATTATCTATTATATAGTAAATAGTGGTAAAATGTAAGTAAAGACCAAGAAATGTTATTACTTATATACGCAAATTTAAGTAAATATAAATTACTAAGTAAAACTTTTTAGTGTGTAAGTAAAACAATTCTTTAAAATACAAAAATCAAGTAAAACATTTGAATCTAGTAATTGACATATATTTCAGTAATTGATTTTAAATTTTAAGTAAATGCTTAGTAATTATCTATTACTTATCTTTGTTATTTCAAGTAAAAAATGACTACAAAGTAAAACTTTTTTAAGAGTGCTGGTATTTCGTCAAGAATCCCGGAGGTATGCATTAGTTTTGAAATTCCTGAATGCAGAATAAATATTGACTACTCTTTTTATATGTATCAGGAAAAAAAATTACTGAAAGATTTTAGTGTTTAGTCCATATACGTATGCGTTATGCAATCCATATCACATGAAACCTGGATACGAATTCAAGTTTTGTTGAACTTGAATATGTTGATTTTCAATTTTATTTCTTTAATTTTATTCATTAAAAAATTGTGTTTGTTCAACTCTCCTGTGATATAAATGGAATAATTGTAGTTTCTTTCATGTTATTATTTCAAACGAGACAGTGGGGATACATCGACATTTGCATTAGGATAGATGTACATACACCCCCTAATGATATTGACAATGTACGCATTTCTTTTTTTTTTTGGGAGAGGGCTACAACTCCTTAGGATCTCTATAGTGGCGCAAACGCGGGAGTGATTCACTCCCGCAACATTTCAGGGTATTCTAACTATTTACTGACTTTAAATCCATAAACAAAAATCGTATTTTATGTTTCTTACTCTACCTTTCACTGTACAATCTACAACTTGCCATATATTAGGCTCTATCCTACTGTTTTCAACAATTACAAAAATACTCCAGTTTCTCGATTCATATTGTCCGCCATATTTGCTGTACTGAAGCTGAACTTCCGGCTGTCAATTTTAACAGCTTATTTGCATATGCCCATATATGGTAGTGTTGACATATACGCACGAGAATGGAGCCTGCAGAGGAGAAAGCGCTTTTGTCGACATTGGAAAGATTTAAGTTTGATATTACGTTGAAGGAGGAGCAGAAAAATGTTATATTTAATATTTTAAAGAAGAAAGATGTTTTCGCTTTGCTGCCAACAGGATTTGGGAAATCCATGACTTACATTTTGGTACCCTTGATTGCTGACGAGGTAAGTCAAAGCGGGCATCTCGCGGATTATATATTTTTCGGTGTTTTTATTTTTATTTATTTCGGAGTGTTTACATGTAAATAACAGATTATAAATGTTTTAGCTCATGGGAGGTGCGCCAAGACACACAGCTTTAGTAATATCGCCTCTGAGAGCGCTGATGAGGGACCAGGTTGAATTTCTGGAGCAGCACAACGTGAGTGCAGTTGCGTTGATGGATGACACTAAAAACCAAGGTGATTATGATTGTTCCATATGCATGAAAAAAAATTAAGCCCCTTCGTAAAAAAACAAAAAAAAAAAAACAAAACAAAACAAAACAAAAACAAAAACTATATATAAGATAAGAAAAAAATATGTGTAAATCAAGATGGAGATAAGGAGGATTTTTAAGGGGCCCTAATCATTTAATGAAGTCATGTGTTTTAATCAATATTAATTAACTAAATTAAGCAATAATCCTAGTATAAAATAAAATCAATGTACTTAATAAAGATCCTAGCCAGAGTAAGTCTGTGGGTATGAGCAGAAAATTATCACAACTGTAATGGGACTGTGAACACTGACCTGTTTCAGATAAACAGAGTTTACACATGTTACATTTTAAATTTCTTATTATTTTGCCTAAACAGACATCATCGACAAGCATTATAGTGTCATCTATGCATCACCAGAGGCAGCAATACACCAGAGATGGAGAAAGGTTTTGAGAGATAACCTAAAGCCAAAAGTCTGTGTGCTAGTGTTTGATGAGGCACATTGTATTTCATCATGGTAATTGATTTTATCAACATTTATCCATTATAATTGTTATGCATTGCTTTTTTTGTTTATAAGGACTGAAAACTAGATAGACCATATTAACATCATTGTAATTTCATTTTGATGCAGTATATGTCATTGAACTTGTTAAATGTCAATCAACTTTATTTAGGGGACTGGACTTCAGACCAGCGTATAGACAGGTTTGCAGTTTACAAAGCATAATAAACACCAGCACCCTTGTTCTAACTGCAACAGCAACAAGAAAGATCCAGGAGGACATTTATGAGACCCTCGGGTTTCAAACAGAATCAACGAAAGTAATTGCAGTCCTGCCAGATAGGTACCTTTTGAATCTAATTTCATTTTCTTAATGTGGAATATATGCTTTAAATATTGAAATAAAATATTTAACTGTATTACAAAAAGATAAGAATTACATGTACAGGTACTTTAAAGAAAGAGAAATATAATGGAAGTGAATTATGTCGGTGTGTACGTAGCTTGTATCTGAATTTTTCAAACTACTTTCTATTTATACAGGCCAAACATTTTCTTAAATGTTAAGAATTCGTCGGAAAAGTATGAGGAAGAACTGGCATGGATTGTGACGCACATCAAGAGTAAGGAAAGCCAGAAGAAAATTCTTCTCTACGTCAGGTCCATCAATATTTGCTACAACATTTATTTGTGGTTGATATCTTCCATTGAGGACAGATTTTTTGTGCACAGTTCTCCATCACTAGAAAATAGAAGAGTTGAGATGTTTCATGCCAACACCGACCCAATGAGCAAAGAGAGAATTTTAAATGAATTTACGAAGCCAACTGGAAATGTGCAGGTCCTGATTTCAACAGTGGCATTTGGTATGGGCATAAACATTCCTGATGTAGACATTGTTGTGCATTGGGGACTCCCTACTTCCTGTCTAAGTTACTGGCAGGAAGTTGGGCGTTGTGCAAGGGACGGGAGGGCTGGACAAGCTGTATGTTATGGTTTCAAGAGAAGTGTTTCCAAATGCGAAGAGGAAATGAAAGACCTAATGAAACTTGAACTGTGTGTACGTGTGTCAGTGCTTAAGAATTTCAATCTGCTTGGAATGCAGTCAAGGGATTTAGAAATTCTAAAGCAGAGCATCAATTGCCAGGGTGATTGTGACAGAATCTGCTCATGCAAAAAATGCAAATGTTGCACTGTGTGTAGTACCCACTGCAGCTGCCCCCAACGCACCAAGGACCATCTACAGTCATTCCTGATGTAGTATCATGTATCATAATGAATGTATGTAAATGAAGTGTCTCTGGCCACCTAGACAGGGAATTAAAACTCGTTATTGAAGTTCGTACTGTAATTATGCTGCAATTGTTCATATTCAAAGATAGTTCTTGGTTAAACTTGTTATTACTGTTTTAACTTTCTCTGTAAAATACTGCTATTTAAGATTAAGCTATTGAATGAAATTGCATAAATTTTTATATTTTTCATTTGAATGACATATCTTGAAATTTAATGCAAGACCTGGCATGTACATTTTAACTGCAAGCAAATTATTTCCCAAACTGTATGTCAGTATAATATTAAAATCTGTTCTATAATCTGGCCTTTAGCTCTTTTCCCCCTGTTGCCACCATTTGACGCATTTGCGATTTCCCTAGAGTGTTTATCTGGCTGCCCCCTGAAGCCATTTTGACTGACTTGAAATGACTGACCATTACATTTAGAACATGCTAATTAAGTACCTAAACATCATCAAAGTGTCACATATTATATATCAATGTTTGGGGAATGGATTGAACTGTAGTATTGTCATATAATTTTCTAAGAATAATTAATCTACAATTAACAATATATAGGTGAAACCAGGTAAAATGAATTTTTCACAACTAATCTTCATATTATCCTTTCTATGAAAGAAATTTTCTAAAAAATATACCAGTAAACTTAAAACATAATACCAAACCAATTAAAAGGCTCATTATTTTTTGTTTAATTAATATTAATTAAGATAGATTAATAATGATAGGTAATTATCTTAGACTTGAGCCAACTAAACTTCACAATCATGTTCAAGCAGGCATGTTTATAAATATTTTATATATTTAGTTGACCACTTCTTGCATAAGTCTTGGGGAAAATAAATTAATACATGCCCAGATGAAAAAAAAATGCTGAAAGTAGATTATTTAGTACTCATAAAACACATGGGAAATCTGTGGCCGCCATTGTAGTTCTTGTTAAAGATTCTATGATGTTCTTCCTCTAATTTTCATTGTAAAATTTTATTTCTATTAAATTCAACTTTAGAACTGATGTAAAAACATTGTGAATGCTAATGCAATCCAAGGTATGTTACATAAAATGCAATATCAAGGCTGAATTTTGCTTGTGACAAGGTCCAATTTCTTCTTGTAAACAGACTGGGTGCCATTGTTTTCACACAGGTAAATCTCAAGTGAATTCACACCAAGCTGTGACTTCACTAATTATAGTAACATTACCTAATGTGTAATACACATGATTGGCTATCATTTAGAGCTGAATTTACTTAGAAACAGGGGAAATCACAGAGCTAAATTAGGGTTGTTGTGTGTATATATGCGTCAAATGGTGGCATCAGGGAAATGAGGCATAGCGTCAAATGGTGGCATCAGGGGGTAAAGGATGTAATGCATTAGGGGGAAAAGAGTTAGACCATAAACAGAGAATATTTATAAGTTGTTTAAGAATACATGTACATGTAGTTAAGTAATGAACATGGAAAAACATATTAAAAGCTAACTGCAGTAATGTTGTAAAGTATCCCAAATAAAATTATATGTGAATTTTAAGTATAAAATTTTACCATGTTGTGTTCTCTTGATGAGATAATCGGTAGACAAGATAAAAAAGCTGTATATTAAAGCTAACCATGAAACACATCACTTGCAGGGAGTTAAGTTTTTTATTTCTACTGTTAGTCGAGGAGGAAAGACAAATAAACTTTTTACCTTTTAGGCCATATAATAGAAACTTAGTTTGATGTACTCTGACCCACAATTTTGAAGGTGGATAAGTAATTGTTTGGTGCTAACGGACAAATTGATTTTCGCCACAAGAAATCCACATACTTGGAAATTTATTGATATGTTCACAATACACTGGACAATACAGATTTATTGTTTGCTCTAAAATAATTCATTGAAAAATCCTTGTGAAGTTACAGTGTATTCATTTTTAAAATGAACTAATGTCTGTTTCTGTGAAAATTAAAGAAAATGTATGGATTGGATAGGGGGTTTCGACAGGGGGTTTTGACTGGTCGGTCAAGGTACATCAAACAAATCATATTTTATTGTTGGTCTTTGTTCCCGAACTATTACCCCCCGCCATATTTTAATGACTGCACATTGTTGTCAATGACAAGTCTCCAAGGCCATCTTAAGAAAAATTGTTTGCTCTTTCACGACTTGGTCTGAAAATATTGGTTCGAAGTGAGAAATTATATTTTTAAAAATTCAAATTGGATGCTAATTATTTTTTCAATTTATTTTTAAAGAGTACATTTAAAAATGATTTGTTTCTGGAAGTAAAAGAAATTTTGACTGGGGTCCTTTTAAAGCAAGTCAGGGAAAGGGAACCAAACAATTTTTTTTAAAGATGGCTATAGATGGTTTTAATTAATCTGAATTCCTTATACCAAGAATGTCACAGTGACAGTTTGGTTGATATGTTCCAAATCATTCAAAAAAAAAGAACGGACAAGCAACAGATGGATTGATCTTCTCTTTGAGCTAAACACTTGACTGAGCCATTGCTTGGTTAAGACTATGATACAGTTGAACCTTGTTACCTCAAGCTCCATGGGACAAATATAAACTTTTGAGATATCTAACGTTAATAATTAATATACATGTAAAAGAGTAAAAAACAAAGGCAGTTTGGTCTGCCAAATAGATTTTACATAATGCTGGTTTTCAAAATAAGAAGTGTGTATTGAGATAATGAAGTTGAACCATACTTTCTTAACATAAAGGCTAAATACAATGAAAATGAATAATAATTTTCAGGCTAACTAACATTTTTTCAATTTATTTTGATTCAAATGCAAACAACTTTGTCTCTGAAAAATTGGAACTTCATATACTTCTTTCTTTTCCATTGACTTCAGAACATAGACATTACAAACTTGTTAAATTGAATACATGTAGAAATTGCAGTACCAAGTCATTTTAAGCTGCAATGTAAAGACAGTTTGAGAGAATGGAAAATTAAATCATACTAGTTCATTGTGCTAATGACATGTTACAGTCAGTTTCTCTGCATTTGAATGGTAATTTCCCTATGCTTTGCTAATTCTTTCCTCAGTCTGACAAGTCTTTTCTTAAATGCACTGGCTGAGATTTTTTTATACAAAATATGTGTAAAATCTGGGAATGATTTAAATTGTCTCCCTGGAGTTGTTGTAAAAATGTTTTCTGGACTCATCATGGAGACAAAATCTATGATGTCATTTTCCCTGTAATGGGGGCTAGTTGTTTGGATGGTGGGCCTTTGCACAGAAGCTACCTGCTTCTCATAGACTCTGTTAATCACCTTTCCAACACCCACCATCTGGCTATGTCTGGCAATGGTAGCCTCAGTCAGTTGTCCTGCAGCATCTTTGACACTTTCTTCAAATGATGAAAGAAAAAACAAAATGATTAATACATACGTACATACATTAAGATTGTTTTCAATACATATAAATTAATAAAAGCATGTACATACCCTTGTATTCTTTATTAAAGAACTCCATTTGCAGATCCATTTCCAGATTTTTCCCAGGTCCACCATTTGGATTAACAGTTCTATTCCATGTCAGAGAATGTTGAAGTCTGGGACTGACTGCTCCATTTATTGCTGATAAGAGTTGATGACAAACATGGAAGTACTTTGGATGGTTATGCTCATAAAAGTTTAACAAGTCAAACCTCCAATGCATGATAATCCGGTTTCCATCATTTTCTCGAAGTGCATCACGTCGTACTTTTTGGTTCAACCCATGCCACATTAATTTTAAAGCGTAACTTTTTTTATGGTCCGTTAGGTTGTCTGCTACTGTACTTTTCTTTTTCTTTCCTGGTTGGTATTTCCTGCATTCAGTTGAACACCACCAGTCTCCCTCAGGCACACTATCTTCATCAAGACCGATACAGTCTAAATGGAACCATCCCCCAAACATACAATCTTTGTTTGCACAGAATATCATTTCTGGATCTTGATGTTCTGTCCTGCACACACAAAATTCAGTGTCAATTTCTGAGTCTTTGCCATGGTCTTGTAAAATGTGTTTAACGTTTGGCCGGGTTGACAGAAACACCATGTCCACAAGTTTTCCTGACACATCATAAAGGAAGTGCATTTGTTTGTCTTCAGTATCTGGGAAAGAATTGGGGATTTCATCCAACTCCTGCATATTCAGAACATGCATAGCAGCCAGTACAACATATCCATTTGTTGTAAAGTCCAGAAACTCTTCATCATGATTAAATGACTGTTTGACATTACTTGTCACATTACGATGATTGAAATAGTTTTTCAGCTGAAAGAGGGTGCCAACTTCCCTTCCACTGGAGCCTTTATACATCTCATCAAAAATGTCCTAAAATAGTACAAATTCAATAAATTATACAAATTATATACATGTCCTTTACTGGTTAACTTTAAATGGAACAAGAAATAGGCAATAAAAATACAAACCATTTGAAATAATGTGAAATTACTAGCATTTATTCATACAATTATTTCATTTCACTATTTCCACAATTATTTTCTGCTTATAGTTACCTGAAGCAAAAGGCATCGTTTGTGCCATTCCTGTATATTCATTTGTAAGCCTTGCAATTGAGTCCATGCCGTATTTCCATTTATTCTGGCATTCTGGGCATTGTTTCCCCTTTCAACGCTCAGGCCATCTGCATGTAAGACAATGGAGTAAGGTTGTCCATTTGGCTTAAGAGGAAAATACTTGTGATATTCCTCAAGGATGTCGATGGTGTCAGACACTCGACTTTCATCTTTATCCAGAACGCCAATAGGAACCTGCAATTAAATCAATTTATTAATTACGGCAATATTCAAATTACTTTGTTAACGAGGCTAGGGGGTGGTAGCCATTTTTAGACTATTTCAATCTCCTTTAAAAGGAGAACTTAATATAAAGATATACAAAATGATAAAATTTTAAAACTAAAATATATGAAATTTTTCTTTGCCAAATGATAGTTGACAGCTAAATATACCATATCTAAAAAAAAATAAGTTAAATCTGGTGGTTAATATAAGATTAAATTGATGACCCACCAGCCTCCTTAATGCGTTTTAAGTTGAAAAAAAAGAAACTGACCAGTTGACTTTTTGATGCAGAAATCTTTGAGTATCTATGTTGGATATGCCTGTTTACAGCATTGGCCAAAGGTTTGAAGATGGGAATATATTCACACAAAATCCTGTTGACAATTGTGGTTAATTCAAACCGTAGATCAATTTCATCCATCTCTGATGGAAGGTATTTATCCAATGGAATGGACTTGATACTTTCTGGTGAGGGTGGGTCATCATTGAGATGGAGAGTTGGGACTCTGTCAAGGGCGGCATATCCTTGCACCATGTTAAACATCTTGTTTTTGTTGTCTCTGGTTTGATGTCTTACAGTGGTTCTTTGATTTACATTATCAAAACACAATGAAAATCCACATCGACCTGAATATATAAGTTGAACGTTATTTTTTTTCATTTAAAGGCAATAAAATAAAAATATTTCACATTAAATGGAAAATGTGTAACTTAAAACTAGTCCAGAGACCCATGGACTACAAATTTTTAATTGTCCCTGCTGGTAATTTTCTCTTTATTTTCCAATGTAAATGACTGATAATATCTTGCAAAGCATAAGTACATGTACTTTCATTGCAAACACTTGCATGTCTCACCTTCTGGCACTGATGCATCACTAAGGGACATGCTTTCCTCAATATCAGATGTGCTTTTCATGGAACTTAACAACTCTGCAAGAATTCAAAGACATGATATATTACACCATTTATTTATGCTCTTTGTATGAAGATGTGTTCAATATGTCTTTTGACGTAGTCCAAAACAACTCATCACAAGAATATTTACCTTCATCTGAATGAGTCTTTGGTGAATCTTGCATAAGTGCTTGGACATATCCTCTTCTGACAGGTGATTTGTGTTGTCTCTGAGGGGACGATGCTGTCGATGATGGAAATGAATCAACTGAAAGAGTTGCCTCACTGTCAGCATATGGAATTGTATAAGCACCAGAGACTGAACTGTCTGACTGAAGCCCAAGCAAGTAGTCAGCAATGTTTGTTTTCCACTTGAACACTTCAGCATCATAGCTTGTTCTTATGCAATCTAAGTAATTTCTTGTCCCCTTGATACCAATGCATAACCCAAGGTGATTTAGTCTGCTGAACATCTGAAATTTTAAAAGCAATAAATGCTATATTACTAAAAAAATTTATACAACATAATTATGGGAGAAAATTTTGAGAAAAATAATTTAAAACATCAACCTGATCAAAAGCAGGTTTCTTTTCATCATCAAGAATAGCTTTTGCTCAGTAGTGAGGTTATTTGACTCTCTAGTATCAACACAAGTATAAAAATATTGTAATGAAATTCATCTAACCTCTCTTTGACAGCCAGCAAGCCACATTTGAACAGAGTTAAGTTGCTGAAAGTAATTCATCACTTTTGATTTCCTTTGAAATGCAATGATTGAACCAATTGTGCCAATGATTGGTTTTGCAGACAAGGTTGGTTTTGATGCAAGTCCACAAAGATGCACAGATCTTTCTGATGTGAGTGCCCCAGTTAGCACACTACAGAGAATGGGACATGTTCTATGTAGTTCTGTGAACTGCTTTTCCCAGTCAAAGCCACCAATTTCCTCAACAGTCCTTCCACCATTGAATGATGATTGCTCATTTCGGCATAAATTTCTTACTTCAGCTCGAACTGTTTGTTGGGCATAAGTCAAAATGGCTTTCCGAAAACCTGTTCGTGTCTTCAACAGTATAGTTAGGCCTCTTCTGTATTTTCTTTGCCGTATGCAGTTCAGGGCCTTATTCACCTCCATTTCTGGTGGGGTTAACTGGAATGTGTAATTACATAGTCACTGTGACATGCTTACATCACTTTATATACAAATTTGCACTATAATTGGACTAACTTTATTTTGTACCCAATTACTTACAATATAAAGAAAAAAATAAATTCAAATACTTGTATGTAAAAAAGAAATATCAAACCTCATTGGATACCCATGAGTGATCTTTGCTAAGATAAATAACCATTGGTTATCCGATGAGTGAATCAAGATCTTAAAAGTTTGGGATTCGATTACATTGTACAAGCTTTACATTGAACATGCTATTGGCTTCTGTCCTTGATTTATTTCTATGACATAAAATTGACATATATCATGTATATTATTTAGATTAGATATCAGCAACATATGAATTATCAAATGTGAATCAGTCATCACATTGGGTCTTTCTGAAAGGGGAGGGGCTTGAAGAAAGCTATGTGAAATTATTTTTTGGAATTATGTGGTGGTGGTAGCTGGGGGGGGGGGGTGGTATTGAACTGTTGTTCTTGCCCATGAAGATTCCTAGACGTAAAAACTTATAAAATTTATATTGATATTTTTGAAAGTTAGAGTTCCCAGAAATTTTTTTTTTTACTGAAATTAAAGGTTTTTCAATTATCATGGATACATATCTTGTTATTCAAAAAAAAACCTTTACCTGTTTGCTTTTCCCTTTTTTCTTGGGCTGTGTTTCAGTTTCAATTTCTGGCTCCTATTATTTATTCAAAGAAAAAATTATTCATATATTGATAATTTCATGCATAAAAAGTGAGAATAACTACGAAATACAGTTTTGAATAAGGGAGCCTTTCGTTTTCAGTAAATGAAACTTACTTTTCTAGGAGAAGTCACCCTCAGCCTCTTAATTTTGCGGGGGGTTGGCACAGGACTTCTGATTTTTTTAGCTAGGTAGCTTGTCTCTCCATGTTCTCTGATCTTTAACAAGGCTTCTCTCTTTGCCACAGACGATTTTGCCATAGAGACAATTGCCCAAGAACATGCTGCACAAAGAAAATGTCGGCTTTTCTGATGGGGGGTCAATACGACATCAAACTCTTCCTCTATCAAATCTTGCAGCGTTCTGTTTACCTTATTTATAACGGCAGTTGACTGTAAACTTTTCCTGCCACCATAAGACTTTCCTTTCTTTGTCGGGAATGTTTTCCCACAGTTACAACACTGACAATTTCTCGATTCCATCTTGGTAAACTACATTTTCGCGCCGATTGTCAACAATGTTTAGATTTTTTCAGTGCGCTCTCCAAATATGGAAACGCTCCGCCTCTTCCGGTAAACGAGATCTCGCGATAACAAACATGGAGATGCAGGTGAAGAATCTGAGTCGCTGTACAAGGTTTTTAACGAAAGGCATCTTTATTTGACCTAACCAAGTTCAGATTCGGTACTTTTTAGAGTTTTAATAACATATACAACTAATAAATGTATTTTTTATCGTCTGTGCGTCAAATATATTTGCACCATTAAGGAGATGCGATGGAATTGTAGCCCTCTCCAGAAAAATATCAGATTAAAAATAATGAGAATTTCGGCAATGTAAAATAAAATTTTCAGAATAAAAGAAAATTCTGCGCTTTGATAAAAAATACAATTTATTGTATATGAAATGAAATGAAATAAACATTAAGGGATGGTATTTTATGTCTTGCTTTTTACGGAGTTTAATCGTGTTAATTAAAAAAATACTTATTGATTGAGTATGGTACGCACAATCACAGCCAAGCCCCATATCCCAATTTTCTTTCATGATTGATATACATCGGGATCGTTTTACTCGTCGTTTTGACGCTTTATTTTTGACGTTTAAATTTGACGTCACGTCAAACGTTCAATTGAAATCGCAAGAGTTATCTCCCCCAGTGTGTTGTACGTCTTTAAACCCCCATAGATCCGCAAATAACATGTAGGTTGTACACTTACATTTTCAACTGTTACTATTTTTGATATATCATATAGCCATAATTTAATAACGATAAAAGAAAAAGTTGGGATGTGGGCGGGATTCATAAACTTGTGCCTTTCAATGAACATGTTGGGGAAAAGAGCTATACATATTGTTAAGAAAATAAGCTGTTCAAGACCTTCTTGCCCCCCCCCCCCCCCCCCCCTTCCCGGTTTCTTTGTGGTTTGCCAGGTAACTACATAAATTCATGCATTGGTTCCCGAGAGGGGTAGATTTAGAATTTTATATATTTTTTGAGGGATTACATTGCATATCGCACCTTCAAGTTTCTTTTCATAGAATAAGGTGGATAGATCTTCCAAAATCACTACGCTCTGCATGGGGACTGTCTAACTTTGATCACGTGACCTGGGTTATAAGGTCAGATTGAAATTGCCATTTTGTCAATATCGGTCACTATTAATATATTGTCATTGCTTCTGAATTGCATCTACTCAGCGCTTTCTCTGCATTCTTCAAGACATCTTGCACAGAAGAAGATTTCTTCTGGGCGAGGTAAGTTTATATTGAAGTAGTTATATTCATCAGTTTATTACTTTATAGGGGTTATTGTGGAAAACAATTCTCGCAGTGAGTAGTCGAACATTCTTGACGCCATTGTTGGCCTGCAGCAAAACAGAGATTAGCTAGACTGGTAATAATTTAACACTTGGAAATACTTGTTCGCATATATGCACGTGTATATTAGGTACCATTTGTCACATTTTTTAGTTTTAATGTGAATCTCAGGGATCACTCTGGATTTTAATGTTGATGGGCCAATGGCCCATCAACATTAAAATCCATGGGCCATACGCCGGGGGTATGGGGGCCGCGTTAGGCCCCCATTGGGGTCCAGGGGCAACGCCCCGGTAGGGGGACTAGGGGGGCGAAGCCCCCCGGGAAAAATTGATTTTCCATGCTATTTTATGACGAATTTCAAGTAAATATGATGGGTCTTTGAGGGTTTTTAAATGCCATATTTGAAACAACCAATTTAATTTTATTAAAATAAAATGAATAATATTATAAATATAAAAGATTTTTTTTAAATTTCATCTCAGTACTGAAAAATGTCATATTGGAGAGTTAATTCCTCGCCCCTTGGATTTTATCGATTTAGTTCTCGAAGGTGGTTGAAGAGCTAAACTATAAAGGATGCAAACTTACATGCACATTTATCTATTGAATATACCTGGGACAGTTGCAAATTAAATTTGGATCAAATGGTAGGGACTGGTTTTGTATGCAAAGAACTCGGAGCAAAATAGGCAAAAAACTTAAATGAGAAAATTTTTATTTGTTTGCAACACAATATTAGTCCCATCTGATCAAATTCCAACCACGGATGCAAAGTTAGCCACTTGGACTGGAAAAAGACGACCATCGTTGCCGTTGACATCAGGAGTCTTCTTAATCAAAGACCTCTGCCGAGTCTGGGAATTAAAAAGTTTCCGTCGTTTTATTTGTAAAACAAACGAAAGCTTTCGTTGTTTTGGGTCAGTTGGGCCCAATACCGATCCTCGCTTTGGAGGCATTTCGGTCAAGTGTTTGGATACACAATGAGTAACTTGTACTTCTTTTGTTTCGAAATAAATAATCAAAGTTATAAGAAATACAAGTTTGGCTTTCCAGAAAGCCTGAAATGTCATCTCTTTGGCTTCATTAATGTCACAGAATAAAAAGTAGAGTGTAATTTTTTCTCAACTATTACAGATTTTTCTATTCTTCTCGGGAAGGGGAGTGGCAGCTTACCTGAACAATTTTAGATTAGGAAAAAGGACAGTGATCAAAATCTTATGCTGTGGATGAGAAGGGAATATTTTGATTTTTTTTTTTCGAAAAACAAATTCATTTTATTAAGTACATGACTATACTCGAACAAAAAGTGTGGATAAGGGAGGGGTAGGCATTGAACAATTACAGCAGTAAAAAGTTAAAAGGGCTGGTATACAGACTTGTAGATCTGATTTTCTAAAATTGTTTAAATAATATCACGATTAATATGTTGCTATAGCATTTTACACTGCATGAAATATACTAAAATAATATTTCAAAGTCTCTTTTATCTGTAAATTCAAAACTACGAACTTTGAGACAAGTTTCATTGACATATATCCAAGCACTTTCACAAGGAGCTTATTCCATGATAGAGATAACTCTTTATGACAAAAGTGTGCATTATCCCTTTATACATTTGTCAAATTGAAGAGTTTTTGTGCAATTTTGCCCAGTAAGCCATGCTATAATTGAATTTTACATCGCATTTCCATTTCCTTTTAATAATCATAAATCTATTTTTAATGTAAAAAAAATGTTTATGTCCCACTATGCAGTATTTGTAAAATTTGT